CCATCATGAAATAAACAAGCTTGTAGTCATCTTGAGTCAACACCATTATGGTTTCTTTATCACAACATACTTGTTTTAGGAACTGAATGTAATGTCACAATGCGTTTGTGTCCAGTTATTACTTTTTGATCACAGCAAAATCAACGCTTTTTATATATGATTACAAGATAATTCATTTGAAATACCTAAAATACAAAACCTGATAAATAATTACATGCATGTCACAGGAACAGGAATCTGTAGTCTCCCTGCTGAACACGTAACATCTGTTTCTCAGACACTATATGGTGTTCAGTCTCACTACATTGGGCAGGGTGCATCTTCACATAATGTTCCACAGGGTGATTTGCCTGATGTAGAGCTATAAGATTAAACCAAACTTTGCACATAAACCTGACATCCCAAACACAGCCAGACAAAAACAAATAGTCCAAGTCTGCAAAGTTGGATGAATTATGCATTTAGGCACCGGCTGGGCATTGAATTTAAAACCTTAATACGCAATATTTCAAAGTGACTCGCCCTCATTGTAAAAAAAAAAAACAAAAAAAAAACATGCAAATAGACAAAACACAAACAAATTCGGGAAAAATCTTCATCTATTTGACAACACGTGCTGTATAGACTTACAACCCAAACAAATACACAAACGCGCTTACAAATACTCACAGCAGAAGAGTTTCACGCCATGGTGCCTCACCTGGTAAAGCATGTGCCATGATGGCGTAGTCCTAACCACAGGGGCCTGGGTCCGAGTACAATCCATGGCCCTTTGATGCATATCATCCCCCCTCTCTCTCTCTCTCTCTCTCTCTCTCTTTCACTATCTGAATTAAGGCAAAAAATAACTAGTGATGAACTCGGCTTGTACGCACTTGCATACTTATTGCTCAGTGCTCTTAACATCAAAAGTCACAAGATACTGAACAACAAGTGCGTCCCAGCCAGGTTCATTGCTTTCTAATGTCCCCTGGAAACACTTCCATTGTGTTGTCAGCATTTGCAGCACGTGTTGACAAACTGATGAAGATGTTTTCTGAATTTGTTAAGTGTTTTGTCAATTTGCATATTTATTCTTAGGTTGCAGTGCAGTGAGCTCTCAGGGCCACCGTAGATGAAGGATCTGGTATTGTCTGCTCGCATTGATCTTGTAATTTACTGCCATCTTGGGGCCACAGTAGGCTATTGTCTCTGGAAGCTAGTTTGACTACTAGGTGCTGCGTCTATTGTTTTTTGTCATTTTCATGGGCGTGGTTGCGTTCCGTTGACAAAGGCTGGGGCTTCTCAAGCAGAGAGGGGAGAAGCATTTTGTTGGACGTTTGCACATGTGCATTGAAGATAAACCTGGGATCTTTGACAGGTGACTAGCTACAACTAGCCTCAGACAAGTGTGCTTGTCAAGCTGTGCATTATAAAATGACTACGTCTTTTCTTCCTTTGCATTAAGAGGTAGCAGTAGCAAGTAAACAAGCAACTTTTGGTCTCCACTAAATCCTGAGAAAAAAAAGTCAGGCTCTCTAGCTGCTAAATGCTCTGTGTTTGCCAGCTAGTCACTAACTTTGTTTGACTGTTGTTTGGTGCTGGGCAGGTAGTAGACAGGCTGAGAGTGAACAAAAACAGCAAAGTTGTGGGCTGTAAAACCACTCTGATGCAACGATACAAACACGCAACACCTCTTTTACAGTGTCAGCCTAAACTATATATAATTGCATAAGCTGATGTCATAAGACTAATGAGGCTACTTTGGTTTAAGGATCACATTTCAGTCAGTGGTCTGTGATGCCTGTCCTGGTGAGGGAAGAGCGCTCTGTCATGTTGCTGCAGCACAGTACAAGGGTTTAGCAGGATTTCATCTTCTCTTAACTCCACCCACCTCTGGCATTTCTCCTCATTTTGTACATTGTGGACTGCATTGAGGTTAAATCAGGCCTCATTAAAGAGAAGAACTGCATGCGTGTCTGTTTTCTGCTGTTTGTTAAACTGTCCTATTTGGCTGGTTTGCCTTTGTGACTTCTCTGAGTGGGTGGATATGAGTGTGATGGAGCTAGAAGCTGCAGTGGCTGCCAGGGGCAAGAAGAGACAGGACAGAGTCTATATCCCCAGCAATAAATAGCCCAGAACACAATCCAAACCTGCGGCAGATTATCATGTGGAAAACTGCCAAACAACTAACTGTCAACTTAGTACACTTGATTTTCAGACAAGTATCACCCTATTAGCACTTCAAAACTGACAAACTATTTCTCCAAATTGTCATTGTAGCAACTTACGAGATGTATAGGCCCACAAACAGTTACAGAGTGCTGTCCTAATTGGCAGTCATTAGCTATCAATCAGCCTTGAGGGTTATGAATAACTTTTGTTATTAATAGAAGTTCTGTTTACAGAGCAGACTCCATTCCCTCTTTAATGAGACTGCAGACAGTAAAGCTGTGTCTGAGTATGTAGGGCAGGACAACACAACCAAGTTGGATGCCGACAAAAACAAACTCTTCAAACCAGTGTGTCAACAAGATGAAACAAAGGGGAAAAAAAACAAGAGTCTACAGCCGTGCTAGCGGCTCTGAGAGGCTGTACTTCAGCACAGAAGTGTTTTGAAGTATATGCTAGCATCAACATGCTAACGTGCACAAAATAAAAAATATTATAGGAACTGGGAACTGGACTGAAAGAAGGCGCCCATTAACTTGCATGAAAACTGTTTGCAGAGCACAAAAGCCTCTGGGTTTGTTTCCATGCTACGCAGCCCACTGCTCCTGTGCATTAGTGTTTTCACATGTTCCCACACACCCACTACACTACACAAGAGGATAAGGTCACGCAAAGAAAGATAGCTTTTCTAGAACTATGAAACCAGACTGAAAACTAATAACTGACCTTGTCTGCAGCTCCAGGTGCTCTGTGAAAAGTTTCGCATAGGTCTCTTTTATAATGGTGGTCTATGGGGAAAATACTTTTTGAGCTGCAGGGTATTTTTTCATTGCAATACCATGAGTGGCCACTGGGGAAAACCGACATCAATTTATTGCTCTATTTGCTAATATATATATATATACATATATAAGCCCTCTAAGTACTCAGAAAAACTGGAAATTTCAAAATCTACAGTTTTATGACAACATCTGCCGAGTGACACCACGATGTGATACGGTCAGAAGTTCCTCAGAGCTGCGAGTGATCTTAATTTAATATTTTTTTCAGGAAAAAACTGTAATCAACTTGAGAACAAACATTACATAGCTGTATTGTTTGTATACGTGTTCATATTTAAGAAAAAGTTGCTATCCTATTCATTATGTTTCCCGCAATATTTCCTGAAATTGAGCATTGACACACCAAGCACAGCAGTAATGGCCAGTGAACCTGGCTGAAACACTGTGCCTCAAGTGGCCACAGCTTCACTTTCATTCTTCAAAGCGATATTGTGGAGGCACATCAAGGGGACCAAAGTGTCACTGCTGATTTGAAGCTTTTGCCACAGCAGAGTCAGAGGTGGGAAGTGTTTGGGAGGAGTGTGCTGAACGCGCAGGGGGATGCCGCTCTGATAAAGAGTTGTGTGGGGAGGCCCCCAAATCCCTTTTATATCACCAGCTCACAAGCATGCAGAAAAAGTAGCACAGAAGCCCAAGGGGTGGGGGGAGTGGAGATCAAAGCCAGATGGAAATCCAGACAGAAATACATGTGTGCAAATGAAAAAGACAAATACTGTAGAGAAAATCTCAACATCACCCTTTTTTCCCCGAAGCAGCTGAGTCAGTTTATATGATCTGCTTGCTGGGAGAAGACTGTGCTGCTGCATGACAAGCGAAGCACAAAGGATTTCAACCTACCACAGACATGTACACAAACACAGCTGCTGTTGCCCCCCCCCCCCCCTGTGTGAGCTGAGTGCATGGACTCTGTGAGAGCTCTGCGTTTGTGCACCTATATATGTGAGATCAGTAGAGCCAGTGAAGCTTTCCTGCAGGTCTGAAGTAAATAAAGTTCTGACAGGTTCTCTGCTCATGTGGATCCAATTCTCGCTGTGCAACCACACACACAGTCATTAGTTTTCCTTATCACTCCCCTTCCTACAGTTTTCAATTAATAGGAGGCGCCGGGGGTATCACAGTGTATATATGTGTCTTTGTGTGTTGAGGGCAAGGTCAGAGATAGACAGCTGCTGTCAGATCAAATTATTACCTGGAGTGTGTTCATTTGCTCGTTCATCCATTCACACTCACTCCCTCACTGTATACTGTGGGACCTCTCTAGCAATCGGGGAGGGGGGGGGGGGCATAGAGTGAGTTTCAGAGCCATCAGGCATGCAGTGCACCACACCACTGGCCCCCGGGATACCCTGCGAGGGACACTTGCTCTTTTCTGACCTATTGCATGGCAAATGTTAAACGAGGGGGAGCAGACGGGGCTTCTCATTGACATTCCTGTTGGTTTGAATGGAAATGTAGCAAAAAAGACTGCACCCATGGGTGCTGTCCTATAGCCAGGGATGAGTGTGCCATTCCAAATGGCAGGCCAGTCAGATGTCACCCCCATTGCCAAAGTCCCTCACAGCCAAAATGTAACACATGACTAGGAAAAAAACAAAAAAACAAAAATGTTAATCTGTTATTCTGTACATAAGCCAGAGGAAAGAAAGCAGCCTGAAGGGAAGGCAGCTCCAGTGCTTTAGACACCCAGACTGTCTGTAATGATATGATTATTTACCAAACAGAAGCCACATTAAAGTTAACCGTTCTCCAACATATTTGTCTTGAATGTGGCTTCATCAGGTCATGAGGTCCCACATTTAACCATTATTTAGACCCATTCCTCCTAAAATAAAAGACCTGTCTTAATGGTGTGAACTGGGCATTCTTGGAGTTTATTTTAATAAGGCTGTTTGTGGGCTTGGCTACATGGACTAATGCATGTTTTTCAAGTATATAGAGGACACCATGGCTGATACCAAATGGACGCAAAGGTCAGGAAAATCAGTGAATGCTGCATAGATCACCCACCTATAGTCGACACCACAGTTCCAACAAAATAAAAAGCCCCTGTAAAATCCCATCGTGGCCTCAGAGCATCAGCCCGGATCCCGGCGGCGATGGCAGCCTCGTACTCCCGCAGGAAGGAGTTGAGGTCTTGCAGGCTGATGTTGAAGGTCTCGCTGAAGTTGAGGAGCGTCCCGTTCCAGCGGCCGTGAGCCCGCAGCTCCGAGGGCCTCTCTATGGCCGAGAAGACCGCAGCGCCGCACAGCAGGTACAGTATGATGAGGACGGCGAGCAGCACGAAGCGGCCGTTGTCCTCGTTGAAGTGCAGGGAGCGGCAGCCTTGCAGTCGCTGGCCAGGCATCATCCAAATTTCAGCACCACTCGCGCGTCGGACAGCGACAAGCTCCACATCAGAGACGGCATTCACTCGTTTGCAGGTGTCCTCTGGAAGTCACTGTCCTGCTCTCTCACTGCACTTCTACAGGCAACATTTGCTCCAGTTAGCCCAACACGTTGTCTCATTGTAGTTGTGAAGTGATATTATCTGTGGCTGAAAGACAGGGGTAGGGGGGTTAAAAAAAGGCTCCACTTGTGGATGTAAGTCTGCAGGTCCGCAACAGAGTTCATGAGAAAAGCAGCCGGCGCATAGTTTCATGATGGATACATTTTCTCTTACAGTTGTGCCAATGCAGTTAGTGTGAAGTAGACTGCAGCTTAAATCCAAGCAGACGCGCTTCTTTGTGCAAATGCAAGCAGTGGTAGTAGGCTGGTAGTAGTATCCTCTGGGTGCCCTGCAGCAAAATGTTTCTGCACAAAAGACTACAGTTACAGATGCATGTGTCGCAGAAAAAGCCCGTTCCCGTGCTCACATAAAGTCATTTCTCCTCAGCCTTGCTTGTTCTAGGGAAGTGCGGAGCTGCAGCCTTCATGTAGATGTTGCATCCTCTCAGCGCATATGGTGAGAGGAGTCTGCGCTGTGAATCAGGACAGCAGAGCAAACAAGACGTTTAGGTTGTGCAGTTGGGTAAAAAAAAAGAAAAGAGAATCCCCGTGCGTCCTTACTTGAGGTAGTCCTCAGAAAACAGAGGGATTTACATTTTCACTTGAGTGCAGCCGTGTTACCTTGTGTCATGCGCACTGAGGGCACTCTACTCACTGGAAACCCCGTTACTCACTTTCTGCACCGTGGGCACTAATGTACAATCCAAAGGTACACTCCCGAGCTCAGCTGTTGGAAAGTTTCTGAAAGCTTCAACACGGGGTCAAGAACACAATAAATAAAAAATAATGCTGATCGAACATGAATAAATAGTCAGTGGCGGTGGAAGAAGTCTATTTAGATTAGATCCTGTTATAAAACAAAAAGCAACAGTGTAAAATATAGGAAGGAGTATATATCATTAGACGTAAAAGCCATTCACTTAAGTATTATCAGCAAATTCATAAATGTGCAGAATTGCTCCTGTTGGAATTATATTCTATTATTTTTATAATGGATTATCGTTACAGATATAAACGTGTAATAGCCTATGTAACATTGTGGCTCACAGGTGGAGCTAATTTCAATTATCTGATACTTATGAGCAATTTGAATAATCTAACCGATGCATCCTATTTCAGGCGATGATTATTTTAATTTCCATTGATTTTCGCGATGATTTTTCAGTTTAATCAATGAACCGGTTGATCTATTAGATGTAAAAAAAAAATCTAACTTAATGGAAAAGACCCATTGCAGCGACCTACAGTGTAAAACCTAAGGATATTCAGTTTGCAGTGATAAAAAACAAGGGGGGAGACACTGAACAGTGTACAATGTTTCTCTCTGAAATGTAGAGAAATAGAAGAATACAGTAGCAGAAAATTAAAAATATAACTCTCACGTTACTTTCCACCACTGGAAATTAGCAAGTAAACCAGAACACAATCTACTGAGCTGTCCTAAGCATTTTGTGTGTTTGCCTGTCGCACATGTGCTTTCCCCAGTAACATTAAGAAAATGGTTGAAGACAGTGAGACATGATCTCACCCTGCTGTCACTGTCTCACTTGATTTAAATTGATAACGACCCACTCTGCTCCTGCTTTTAAGACCCAGGAGAAGACTAATCGGTGAGATGGAGACTTTTGCAAAGCACTGATACTTTTTGGGGAATTCTGTGCCAACATTTAAATTAACAAAAAGATAACAGAGGCATTGTCACTTTATCCGGCAGATGAGGACTTCCTATTCACAATCTTCTGAATAATAGGACACAGATGACTGGACTTTTACAAGGCACACAACAAGGCTCAAATGACCGCTCAGGGAGGAAAAAGAGGAGCAATATCCTTTTGAGTTGGTGGATACACAGTGGGGATTCTAACAAAATCAATGAGAACCTGGAGCTGCTGATCCATAAAAATACCCATGAAACTATCGACTGATGCCTTAAAAAGACACGTTATCCAACTGAAGTGGAAGCTGTAATTCTGTGTCACAAAAACTGTCACTTTAGCGTCCAGACATGGTGTTTAGTTGATGTAAAATAAAGAATAGTTAGTTTAATAGTATTCCACAAATGCCCAAACAAGAGTGAGACTTTAGAAGAGAAGACACCAAAGCCCAAAACTGTGTCCACATTGCAGAGACAGGCAGTAGCCGTTTTTCTGAGGACAAGACAGTGGGCTTGCTTAAGGCTGCTGTATTGATTATGCTTTTTAATCTAGCTAATTGGCTTACAAATATCAAGGCAGACTGCAGAACAAGGGCAAACTCAGCACAGTTATCTCTGCTACACACTGACTGTCCTTGTCAATTTTAATGCTTCTTTAGCATCCATAAGCAGACTACACACTTAATAATAACACAATAACAAATGGTATGTAGTTGTGAACAAATATTAAGACATTTATCGGTGTATTTTTTAAAAGATTCATTCTAAAATAGCTGTAATCATATGCAGTAATGTGTTATTAGTTATTACACATCATGATTCACGATAGCCGAAAACTGCAGAGAAGTGTCCTGTGATGTTTTTGAGGCTAAAGTTTATTAAAGTGACCTTATGCTGTGTGCAGCCACTGTGGTCACAGGATAATGCAAAAGCATGGTGTAACAGTATAGCACAAGTAGAGGAGTCATAAACATGGTAAACTGACTCAATTTACAATAAAACTTATCTAAAATGTGTTAATATCTACTAGCATTAGCCCTCATAAGCCGATGGTCATACCAGACTAAATGAGTCTTTAGCTGTAAAACTCCTGAGTGTAAAGCAAGGTTGTGCTTTATTGAAACTGAAACATGACATTGAAATTTTATTAGTGAGATGAAGAATGGGTCATTGCTTATTTCAAAAGCCGCACAGTCTATCTTTAAAGGTGTTTAGAGCATTAAAAGAAAAATAAATTATACTTGCATGCCATAATTCCCTTTAGATGATAAGCTCAGATGCATCCGCCATTTTACAGTAGTGCGGGTTAAGTGTTAAAAGGCAAACACTCTCCAGCCATTGCTAAGCAGACACCTTAACTGGCCTATTACGGGAGATACAGAGGGCATGTGGGAGAGACAGAGGAGAGACAATCCTTCACAGTGCAGCTACGAGAGCTCCTGCAGTGAATAAAGATGAGGAGACAAGGGAGGACACACATCCTCTTACAGTGAGAAATGAAACGGGGAGGGAAGCAAGTGAGGGATTTCCTCTCACCCCGCTGTGGAAGAGCTTCTCCCAATGATTGAGAACATATGGTCAAATCAATCATTTTGTCATTCTCAAAGCACAACACACAGGGCCGTTTAATGGGTAAATGTCATCTGATGCATCCCGTACGTTCTAGCATGTAAGGTTGACGTGAGTGGTAAAGAGCACATACGACAGTTTTGAAAAGAGTGAGCACATATTGATTTAAATCTGGGATGACACGACCAATTTGCCTAACAGTCCTCCTGAGATTTGAGAAGAACCCTTCAGAAACCTAATTTGTCATGGGGCCCTGAGAGCAAATGACGTAGTGGAGCAGCACCTGCACACTGTGTCAAGGTTCAGTACATTTGTGTCCATAATTGTTTTATTTCGCACAAACAATTCAAATATAGAAAAAAATCCAAATGAAGTAAATAAAACAAGCCAAAAAGTGGAAATCCCATCGTCACCTAGTAGCTCAGCCCATAGTGCTGATCTCATTGCACAAGCTGAAATGCTGTTTACTGTATCTCTGCAGCTTTAAAATGACATCTTTGTCTGTCAATAGGAAATTTATTTTTATGCCAAAAAAATAATGTGTATAAGTAAAAGCAATATGCAGAATTTAAGCTGCATATAGCTGTTTGCCAGTCTCCCATTATGAATCAGAGGTTTTCTTTTTAAAGAAACCCCTGTTGTAATCTCTGACACAAGCACTGACACAAGCGCAAGTCAATCAGTACGTCTGTCGCACAACTTTAATCCAGTTCTTTTGTGCTTGTGTGATTTTGTGTGCGTGTGTCTGCATGCATTTGCTTAAAATGAAAACCATTTCCCCACACTTCCCGCCCAGAAGGATTTGCCATCAAGAATCCAATTAGATTTACAGTCCAACGACAATAGTTCTCCTAGAAAATCCTGCAAAGGTAAATTATTTGGGGGGGTGGAGGTAGGTTTAAGGTGGTTCATCATTCAGTTGTGGAACCTGCATTTCATTTTGCTAAAGAAACAAGTACATCCACCCTGCTACTTAGCTTCTCAGCTGTGGATTGAGCTGAACCCTTTCCAACAATATACTATTTTCCACTCCATAGGTTCCTTGTCGTCTTTTTGAAACTGTAAAGCTGTTTGGTTGTGATACCTCAGTGCAAGGATCTACAAGGCTGCTAGAAATGCTAGAAAAAACAGAATTGTGCTTACATTCTCCTTGAACATTTATCCTGTGGTAATGATTGTCTCACCTTTTCCAACCTTGTGTGCACATCCATCTACTGGCCCTTTCATCAATACCTGCATTATTCTTCAACCTACTTAAAGCCTTTATGCAACAGATACATTTTAGTCATTCTGAGAGTGAGATCGGCTTTTTGTAGGCTGTGTCCTCTAAATCGTAGCCTTTTGAGAGGATCCTCTCATGTAGAGCATATTTCTCTCGGCGAGACACTTGTGAGTCCAGCCCAGTCAAAACCTGGAGGTGGTCCACAGTAAGAGCTCTAGATGGGTTTAGTTAACTGCAGTTGTCGTGCATTATTATACCTTTCAGATCCACTCACCTTGCAGCCTGCAGCTGTCAAGGGCAGCCAGAGGAATGGAATTACAAACTAACATATCATAACTTTCCGACAAGCTAAATGGCACGAGGAGGAGGGAAGCAGACTTTTAAGCATCTCGGGGGTTTTTGAGCTAACATACTGCCA